TTGTTTTTTTAAACTTAAGTTACTTTTTTTGGACAATGCACATTTGTTTCTTCTATATTTAAATTGCATTGAAAGTTTTCTTATTGTGCAAATAAACCTTTCTCAAAGCAGTTTCATTTGTTAGTCACCTTTTTTGGTGCAAAGTATTTTCAGAACATTTTTAACAAATGCTTATTCAAAAGTGGTGGGGACATGTCCCCAGCGTCCCCAGTGTAAATGACACCTCTGAGAACAGATCACAGCAATCTCCCAGAACAAGATAGGCCTGATGAAGGGCTGGACAGCGTCAGGCTCTGACATGAATGATCCACACCTACTGGCTGAAGAAAATAACTGCACTCCATGAACACCTGGCAGCATAAATTAACCAACTGCTGATGGTTGGGACCCACCCAGAATGGTAACCCAAGGACAGACAGTCCTGATCATGAAGGATCTCCAAAAGGGAACAATCCCATTCAACTACCGGCCAATAACCTGCCTCTGCACAACATGGAAGCTCATTGCGGCTAAACTCTTCTCCTTGTTTGCTTCTGTAGCACAGCATGCTGCGTGCATCGTGTAATTCTTCTGCGCATGTGGGTCACTTTTAGGCTGCGGACAGTACACACTGCAGTCTGATATGGGCCATATTCAAACAGTAATGTGAACTTTAAAACAAAAAAATCGGATCTGGGAAAAAAACTGAATTGAGCATTAAGGCCTGCAGTGTGAACGTAGTCTAATAGCCTTCATCAAGAACTCAATGGGGCTGTGGAAAACAAGTGTGGAAGGCTTATTCAAAGCCTAAGTCACCATTAAGTGCGTAATATATCATTGTGATGCACTATCCGCCCTGCTCAGCCAGATCATCACAAAGAGTGGCTATGGATACCGGTTCCGGAGTGGAACAACCATGGATGACATCAAGCTGTATCCCAAGAATGGACTGATCCACACTACCAGGATATACAGCAACGACACTGGAATGTCATTCGGACTGGACAAGTATGGTCGGATGGTATCAAAAAGAGGGAAGATGATGATAACCGGACCCAAGCTTGAGGATGACACATACATGAGAGGGGAAGATATTTTATATATATATATTAGTGTTGGGCAACAATTCGCGATTTATCGCAGTTACGCACACAAATGAATAATGAATTGTAAAGTAGTGTATTGCGCACTTGTAATTTAAATGCACTGCTATATACACAAAAGTGCAATAACATGTGGTTTGCAAAACGCTTTAAACAAATAATGTGCTTTTTACCAGAAGTATTCCCTTTACTCAGCACCAATAAAATATCACCTAACCCTATACCTATAACCTAAACATTAATGTAATCAAATCAAATATTAACCCAAAGCTATTTGCCACTGCCAGGGCATTACCTTTTATCTAGCTTGTTAAAACAAGTTACCATCAGAGTCCAGTTTTCTTATATATTTTTTTCTGAACAGGTATTAGGTATCTTTTATCAGGAAGCAGCAGAAATACTATACCAACATGGTGCGTTCCATTTGACATGGGAAGTCAGAATTTCCGAGTTTCCAGTTGGTCAGTCCCGTATGTTCAGTAGGGTTGGGACGTCAACATTCAAACATCGGGATGGACGACGGCAGGGGGCTGGGGGTGTAGCGGTCGTCTTATGCGCATGTGTTCACTGGCACAGACTTTACTTGGTTAAAAACTTGAAATGACGTTACAAGTCGCGGTCGATATTTTACAAGCACGGACCAGGTAACGTTAAAGCAACATTGAACTCACAGTGTGCAGATTTTGGTTTCGGCTGTTTGAGTTGTTTGATAGGCAGCGTCACTAACAAGCAAGCTGCTCACCTGCTGCAGTGATAACGGATCGCGGGTGGAAAAATACGGAAAAGAGATGACAGCGTAGTCTGCTGAAGCCTAATTAATGCGATAATAACGCGTTAACTTGCCCAGCCCTAATACACACGCGCGCGCGCGCGCACACACACACACACACACAGTCACAGGAAGAAGTATGTGATCCCTTTGGAATTACCTGACTCATAACAACCTCACCTAACTCATAACAATAGACAAAAACAGTCTGTTTAAATTAATAGCATACAAACAATTATATGTTTTTATGTATTTATTGAATATACCATGTTGAGAAAGTGAGCGATAGGGAGTGGCAGAGAGTGACTGAATGAGTGGAGCAGTGATGTTGTCAGTTTAGCAGTAAATGTAGAGTGTAGCTTACAGTTTGTCATCGAATAAAGGCTGCAGTTTCTCGAGATAAAAGTAAAGCTCCTGTGTGAGTGTTGCCAATTACTGGAAAAGTGAAGGGGTTTATGGCATTGTCACTTTCAAGATGATGTCAGGCAGTTTCACAGTCGGCCTGTGGGTACTATCTGAAGTGGAAGTAAAGAAAGTATTTGGTACCAAAAGTCAAGTCAAGTTGAGCCGTACCATGCAGTGGAAACACAGCATACATTTTTTTCCCTGCATTGTATTGTCCATCAACAACACTTCAAAAATTCAAGCTGATTTAGTATGCATACTGAAATCTTTCAGTATACTTAATTTATTCCAGTGTAAACACAAACGACATACACAAAACCTGCTTAGAATTAGTATGTGGAATGGAACTGAGACACAGGTAATAATGCTTACTCATTGTGGTTTCTTTTCTTTTAATGTGGGTGGAGAAGTAAGTCACTTTGCCTCTTTTACAATCAGTTGCTTGCCTGTGTGAACACCAGTGCAAGCTAGCAGCTCTAGAAAAAGACCTTTTCCATTCTGACACCAAAGCCTGATGTTTAATGAGTAAATTAGAGCGCTGTAACATTTCCAGCTTTCAATCTCCATGGTACAGTAGCTGCTGGAAATATCTTGGCATGACATTACATCAATTTTTGCTCGTGAAGATTGATTGAGAGTGTGAAAAAACCCAGTGATGCAACATATAACCACAACAGTTCATACACGCTCCCACCCCTTCAGACTCCAGCTGACCAACATACACATAGAAGTCCAAACATTACAGGAGCTTACAAAACGTACACTGTTACATCCTTACCAATAAATACAAAAAAAAGAATCTCCACAAGGTGGTCATAGCAGATAGCTCTGCTATACCAGCCCTACCATCTAAACATGCACAATGTGTTACATGCATTAATGTAACTGGATTGATATAATTATGCAGTTCATAGTTGTTAAATGCCCACATTGCATTTCTACAATGTTGATTCTTGCTCCTCCAACCATACATGACTCTGTTTATCAAAAACAAAAAAAATAACTGATTTTCAGAAGTTCATTCTTCCATTCCTGTCTTTTAAGCGTAGGTATTGTTTCTCTGCTTGCAGATAAGGCTTTCTGTACATCATGTTTTCCTGCAGAGCTACATACAGAATGAACCAAACATCTACTCAAGTGTGGATGCATTAGAAAACAGTTGACACTGCATCTTTTTCTACAGTATATCTAAAAAGGATAGGCACTTTGTTTTAAAACATAGCAAAGAACTCAAGTAAGAAACATTAGACCTGAAACCATGGCAGACTGTAAGCAGTTCACAAAAAACACACCTTACAAAAAATGCATATAATGAAAAGAGGACATCTATAAGGACATTTTATATAAAACAAATCAGTCATGTACTTTTTACTACTGTACTTCTCTCTTGAAGTTTTTAAGAAATGTTTAACAGACAAAACAACCATCGCTGTGACAGTACGTCATCTGTTCGATTGACACAAAGGGAATGTCATAAAGGATTGGACATAATCATGGAATGTCCTAACTAAACAAGAACAACACAGCAGTACAGTGTCATAATGTCAGTGTCATTTTAAACGACCATTTCACTATTGATCTGCCTTCCGTCCTGTTTCCATGCTATACTGACTCTCAAACACACTTCAAACCTTCAGCTGCTACTAGAATCAATAAATAACTTACATCTTTAAAAAACACAATGGATTGTTATACAGTGTGTTGTGCAGTTGGCTGTAATAATGTGGAAAAAGGTAAAATGTTGCTGATAAAGAAAACACAACTCATTTTGAATGTGGTATTGTCTTTAGCCATATTCATATTATTGTGCTTTTGCATGCGCCTCTTCCATTCTTGTGTATGTGCTGCACAGAGTGAAGCCCAAAACTGCTGTTTGGGTCTCTGCAGTGATCTGACTACAGTAAGCAATGTTCACACTGTAGCACGTACATCTTTGCATGATGATAGGTTACAAAACTAGCAAATGCCGGTAGTTAGAATCTAATATTAAAGCTGCACTTATTTACAATGGACAAAATATGTACGTGTAATGTGAAATGTGTGACAAACCCACAGAGAATTATCACCAACTCTGCGGTTGCCTTTAACCACAGGAGCTTTAGCTTCTCTCAGGTCATTGTTTTGGTTTGACACAAACTTTGTCATTGTGTTGTCATTGTTATTGATGTGATTCAGTCCCACCACTCTCATCAACCTTGTTTCCAGCAGCAGCAGGCAGCTGCAGTGAAAAAGCTCTGATAAACCCACTGTACACTACCTGCTTAGTACACCAGCAGACAGACACAGAGACTAGAAGGTGGACATTTAGCAGCTAAAGAGCCAGATGTTGGTGGAGATCAAACCAGAGCTACAAGGAGAGCCACTACTGGACTTACATTCTCAGGTAGTCAGAAACTCAAAGTTAGTGATATTGTTGCTTTGTGTCTGCTGTATGTGTAATTAGGCTACTGTTTGCTTACATGGTAGCCTTATCAATGTTATAAGATATGTCAACGTTATGTTTATAGCTTTTTGTCCTGCCCCAATTGGCAGAATAAAAACAATTAATGCAGCTTTTTGCAAATTGCTTTTAGCAAAATTAAGCCAAACAGTTAGCTGCATAGACCCCCTGCTCCCGTTGAAGAATCCTGTTTGGAGCAAAGCAGCATGCGCAATGCATGACCCTCATTTTTTTTGCATTAAAGTGAATAAAGATTTAATGCTCAGTAATTAGAAACAAATCACCCTGAAGTGAAACAGCAAAATAAATCAGCACTTCTGTTTACTTGAATGGTTTCCCTGAAATACAGACTGGAGTTATGAATGACACAGCAGGTCTGGTGGTCAAGAGATATAATCTTCTTGTATAGTCTAGTCTATAGTGTTCATCATGTAAAGCTGTTTGAGTGTCAATATAGTGGTGTCAATAAAACACAGAAGTCAAAGCAAAATCAAGAACAGCTACTGCAAGACACCTCATATTGGCCGACTCTATTGTTTCATAATGCTACATGTCCTTTGATAAAGACGACACATTCAAATAATCCACTTCCAGCTTTCTCTCTGTTCTCCCTAAGCGTTGCTCTCCGAGTTAGAATTAAAATACAGCATAAAACACACACAATGACAATGTAAACTAAATCCTTCAAAGAAGATGATAAAACTCATCACAATTCCTCAAATATGCATTCTAAAGGTTATTTTAAAGCCATGCTAGCACCATTCGTCTGCCTCTGCCTCCTGGTAATACCTGGATGCCCTGAAGCCAGAGCCTGGGCTGGTCCTGCCCCCGAAGCTGAAGTGGTACCCGTTGGGGACCCCAAGGTTCTGTGGAGCAGGAGACAGGGCTCCCATAATGCGAGGCAGTGTGGTCCGAGATGAATGTCCGGCACGGGGGCTGGACAGTGACACCGCATCCTGGAAGACATCCAGCTGGTCTCGGAGGCTGCCATACAGGCTGCCCAGGTCCTCACCGTGGCCCTGGCCCTGGCCCAGGAAAGGTTCTGAGCTAATACGAGTGACAGGAGAGGGAAAGTGGCGGGAGCTGCTGCGCTGGACAGAGTTGTGCTCTGACAAGCCACGGCTCAGCTGGCCGGGACTCAGAGACGCCTGACTGGACACAAAGTGCACGGGTGATGAATTGGCAGTCTTAAAGGCCACCCCAGGCTGCAGGGCAAGCGGGGTCTGGGGGAGCTGCCGACGTCCGCGACTTGGCGTGCTGGAACTGGAGCTCAATGTCACTGGGCTGCCTTTAACCCAACCACTGCCCTAGATGAAAATTGGACAAACAATTTGAACGATGAGGAAAAAATGGAATAGAGGAAAGGAAAAGAGAAGGAAACAGAGACAGGGAAAGGAAAGAGACACCAAAATGTTTCATGTGATGATGCAATAGATGGCAGAAAACAGATAAGGGTGAAAATATAGACACAGGAGACAGAATGAAAGAACAAGCACTAATGCAAATATAATGACAGACAGACAAAATGGATGGAAAATGAGGATAAGAGAAAGTGGGAAAAGAAGTGAAAGGCCATGAGAGGCTGCACTAAAGGCAGACAGAGGAGAAAGTAGCAGTAAGAGCATGCAGAGGAATCGCAACAGTCTGCATTCAATTTCACTTTTAATTCTCTCTTTCTCATAAACTGTTGCAACAGCAACTGGCAGATAAATCTCTTCCCATTTTAGTGGAGCATCTGAACAGGACACACAGACTAACAGTCTCTATAATGTTTTACTGATATCACAAGAGAACAGGATGTTGTCACTATCTGATATGATGATTTAAAATAATGTCAAACTGGATAAAGCCAGAAGGTATAAAAACTGAATGAGAAGTGTCAGAAGTTACTGTAGGAATATGTTAAGATATTACACTGGTTTTATTATCAATTTAATGTTAATCTGGCTATTAAGTTACTAACTCACTGGATCTGTGTTTAAGTTGCTGTAGGAAAATTATAGGAATAGACTATAATATTTGTCTCATCTAATAGCTCTGTGACTGTCACGTAACTACTTTAGACGTTATTTAGTCTTACCTTATGTTAAATCATTCCCTCATTACTTCTGTCACAGTGCAGCACTCCTCTGATTGCACATCATTGACAGCTGTTCTATTAACATTTAGGGTCTGAGCATGAAAAGTGACCCTATTGGAACCTATTGGAACTGAATGAATTATTTTCCTGTTTCATGGCAAATCATCAATTTTTGATGCCACACACAGTGAAAACTTACAATTTTTCAAAGAAGTTGATTGGATTAATTGTCTAGGAGGAGTTTTATGGAGCCATTAAATGCAAAATGGCAGCCTTTCTGCTCCAAGATGCTTTTATGTACGTCTGGACATGATACATCTGCTACAAAATCGCATTTGTGACCCGAACATGCTCGAAAACTCACAAAACTTTGCACACACGACAGATGGGGCAACAATTTACATGTTATAGATATTATTATTATTATTATTGTTTTTTCATGCATGGGTGTGGCAAAATGGCTTGCTAGTGCCCACTAAAGAGCAGGTCTCGCGAAAGGTTTCCCGAGACATATGAAATTTTTGTAGCAGATGTATCATGTCCAGATGTACTCCAAACTAAAAAAACTGAAAACACTTTAGAAATCCCCTTAACCAGTCTTTAGATGAGGGTCTAAACCCTACTTTACATGCCTGTGCCATCCCACCTGCTTGTTGGTGGTTTCCTGTCCCTCACCAGGGGAGGCAGCACAGCTGGCGGTGGCAGATTTGTTGTGGCAGTGTTCCCGACTGCAGTAGCGATCGCAGGAGTAGTAGCGCTGCTTGTCTGTCGAGGAGTGGTGGTGTTTCCTCTCATGGGAGCGTCCGCGGTCATGGCCTCGCTCTCTGGAGGCAGCTGGGTCAGACGCTGGCTCTCCTGGTGGACCTATGGAGGAGGACAATATTGCAGGGGGAAAGGTAACTTTTCTCTATTCTAGACAGCACTAGCTAGTCCTGACCTGTGACTTGGGTTCATAAAGGCTTTGAGTCTTCTTGTCAAGGCATTTATTTCTGTTCAGTAAGAAGCAACAATCTTAAGTCAGCATTCATAGCAGTCATTTTTACTTGTCATAGAAGGAAAAGCACAGGTGTTTCTAATGGAAATATTGGTTGTTTTGCTCTATTCAAAAGTCCTAGTAAGTAATGACAGCTTAACAGTGAGCCAGCACTTAAAATACCAGGATCCTGAAACTGAATGGAATTCAGCCAAATTCTTGAAGTTGTACTGCACTGGGCGGTTAGGGTCTCTTAGTTCCATGTGATGTGCATGTTCCTTGCATTGTAGCGTTTGCTATTGGTGTATGAATGTGTGTGAATTAAGATTAAGATACTTTATTAATCCTGCAAACTCAATGTTTTCACTCTGTTATTATGTTAGTATTTACAGTGCCTTGCGAAAGTATTCGGCCCCCTTGAACTTTTCGACCTTTTGCCACATTTCAGGCTTCAAACATAAAGATATAAAACTGTAATTTTTTGTGAAGAATCAACAACAAGTGGGACACAATTATGAAGTGGAATGAAATTTATTGGATATTTCAAACCTTTTTAACAAATAAAAAACTGAAAAATTGGTCGTGCAAAATTATTCAGCCCCTTTACTTTCAGTGCAGCAAACTCTCTCCAGAAGTTCAGTGAGGATCTCTGAATGATCCAATGTTGACCTAAATGACTAATGATGAAATAGAATCCACCTATGTGAAATCAAGTCTCCGTATAAATGCACCTGCTCTGTGATAGTCTCAGAGGTCCGTTTAAAGCGCAGAGAGCATCATGAAGAACAAGGAACACACCAGGCAGGTCCGAGATACTGTTGTGGAGAAGTTTAAAGCCGGATTTGAATACAAAAAGATTTCCCAAGCTTTAAACATCCCAAGGAGCACTGTGCAAGCGATAATATTGAAATGGAAGGAGTATCAGACCACTGCAAATCTACGAAGACCCGGCCGTCCCTCTAAACTTTCAGCTCATACAAGGAGAAGACTGATCAGAGATGCAGCCAAGAGGCCCATGATCACTCTGGATGAACTGCAGAGATCTACAGCTGAGGTGGGAGACTCTGTCCATAGGACAACAATCAGTCGTATACTGCACAAATCTGGCCTTTATGGAAGAGTGGCAAGAAGAAAGCCATTTCTTAAAGATATCCATAAAAAGTCTCGTTTAAAGTTTGCCACAAGCCACCTGGGAGACACACCAAACATGTGGAAGAAGGTGCTCTGGTCAGATGAAACCAAAATCGAACTTTTTGGCAACAATGCAAAACGTTATGTCTGGCGTAAAGGCAGCACAGCTCATCACCCTGAACACACCATCCCCACTGTCAAACATGGTGGTGGCAGCATCATGGTTTGGGCCTGCTTTTCTTCAGCAGGGACAGGGAAGATGGTTAAAATTGATGGGAAGATGGATGGAGCCAAATACAGGACCATTCTGGAAGAAAACCTGATGGAGTCTGCAAAAGACCTGAGACTGGGACGGAGATTTGTCTTCCAACAAGACAATGATCCAAAACATAAAGCAAAATCTACACTGGAATGGTTCACAAATAAACATATCCAGGTGTTAGAATGGCCAGGTCAAAGTCCAGACCTGAATCCAATCGAGAATCTGTGGAAAGAACTGAAAACTGCTGTTCACAAACGCTCTCCATCCAACCTCACTGAGCTCGAGCTGTTTTGCAAGGAGGAATGGGCAAAAATTTCAGTCTCTCGATGTGCAAAACTGATAGAGACGTACCCCAAGCGACTTACAGCTGTAATCGCAGCAAAAGGTGGCGCTACAAAGTATTAACTTAAGGGGGCTGAATAATTTTGCACGCCCAATTTTTCAGTTTTTTATTTGTTAAAAAAGTTTGAAATATCCAATAAATTTCGTTCCACTTCATGATTGTGTCCCACTTGTTGTTGGTTCTTAACAAAAAATTACAGTTTCATATCTTTATGTTTGAAGCCTGAAATGTGACAAAAGGTCGAAAAGTTCAAGGGGGCCGAATACTTTCGCAAGGCACTGTACACACAGGTCCGAAAGACACATGCACATGCACAAACAGGACCCATAGCAACACACGGAGAGATGTCAGAGTAAGGGGGCTGCCACTCAGTGCGGCGCTCCGAGCAGTTGGAGGTTCAGGGGCTTGCTCAAGGCGTCCTTTGGCAGTGCCCAGGAGGTGAACTGGCACCTCTCCAGCTACCATGCAACCCTCCAGTTCCCAGCCTAATCCTTACTGACGGAGCTACTGTCACCCCCATAATGGGGTGGATGTGGAATGTACTGTACTTTGAATGGTCAGACGTCTAGAGAAGCACAGAGTACAGTACCATCCATTTAATATTGTCATCACCATAGATAATGGGATCTTTAAAGTCTTAAAGTCTGTATTTAAATTATTTGAATACAGATATATTAACATTTACAACTGCAGATTTGATGGATTAATGTGAGAACCATTTACTTTTGACTTAATGATGTTCATAATTAGATGATTTACTAAGTGATTAATGGGGACAACAGTAATGTAATTCATCCAGGCAATTGCGCACCGTCACAATACGTCCACTAAAAATCTGGCCATATCTTACGTATCACGTTGTAACTTTAAACAATACTACAGAAGTAGTCAAAGCACATTAATACTTAATTATTAATATAACAAATAGTTCACTGATCTTGCTATGGATGTTAAAATAGAAATTATGTACTGTTTTACCAGAGTATGCTTGCTTGCTCATTTGTGTAATTGTATCCCTTTCTTTTCTTGCCTTACATGTGTAACTATAACAAAATACCTCCTGCAGGGGATTCCACTGAGGAAAGTCTAAAAGTCTAAACCTTTTTAAAGAGCATATCTAACAGATGTGACTTCAGGATACAGGGTGTATATACTGTGCTCTCTAGACTGTGAGTGCTAACTAACCAGCAAAGCCGGGTGGTTGTCCACAGAGAGGTTTATCCAAGGACCGCTGCCTCTTCTCTCTGTCTTTATCTCTGTCTCTGCGGTGGTGGCAGCGGCGGCGGTGGTGGTGGTGATGGTGGTGGTGAGGTCGGTCCTGGGCGGGTTTCTCCAGGGTGTAGTCTCTCAGGTTGACCTCCTGGGGATGCTGTGGGGCCACAGTGGAGGCTGAGCGCTTCATAGGGCTGGCATCAGGGACAGACTGAAGGAGGAGTGAGAGAGACAAAGAAGCTCACTGTGACAAAAGGTTTTCATCCAGCAAGAAAGTACTTTCATATAGCTCCAGATTCTAACTCTGACTACTAATGATTATACACCTGGTTCTCTTTATTGTGTACTCCAAGTACTGTATGCAGTGAAACACTAGTAGTGAGCAGGGCCTAAATGTTTTTACTCCTCCAGATTGTACAGTATGTTGACATTCATTATACCATGTCATTAAAGACAAAAGATTGATGCATTAGACCAGAAATTAGATAATTTGAACATCAGGTTGTTGGAAAATTGACTGTTGACACACTGAACAGCAAAGGGAATAAAACAGCTTATGTAAGATTTACATAAATATTGCAGAAGTGGGAACAGCTGGCCAGCCTGCACCTACAGCTCTGACTTAACATTTTCATTTTCTATTGAAGAATGAATGAACAATATAGTACCATCCAAAGCAGTAGGAGATAATTCATCAAAGGTAACACTTAATTCACTGTCCACTGACATTCTGTTGGGTCATCTGGAGCAGAACCATTGACTCACTACGTTTTAGTATTTCTAAAAACCTGGCTACTGCTCTGTCTGGACCCTATGTATTTTTCTATTGTGTTATCATGTGAAGATTAAACTGATAAACCTGTCTCACATTATAGATTTTGACAACCTGCACCTCTCAGGTTGCACCACCCGTGAACGCCAATTCCTTCATTCTGGAGGTTTTTTTAAAACTGCATTGAACTGAACCCTGAGTGGAAATTTGAGTTGTGTTTATCATTTTGTCGATATGATACACTTGTTGCATTTTATAGCTGAGTTGTGGTTTTTATTAGAGTACACTGGTTATTTGAATCAGTGTGAGGGTCCATATCATGATATGTGTCCTTTGTGACATTTGGTGGGTCAAAATGTACATTTTTGCATAAACATAAAATATCTTATGTCAGGGGAGACACCTGACTGGCACCCCAACAAGCGCCCGTAAGTCAAACTGTCACATGTTTGAGGTAATTATGTGCTCTGATCATATGAAGATGGAAATACAATGCTCACACTGTAAGAAGATATGCTGGTAATGTGCAGTGCAGTCTATCAAAGTGTATTTTCTGTCTGATACTAGGCACTTGGGGGTGTCAAAGTTGGCGGTTTCCAAGAGGGACTTTAAGGTGTAGTGCATTAAACAAATCAGGCTCATGATCCAGAACAACACTACACCTAGTTGTATGGTGATATGTTTTGCAATTCGTAATTTAGAGGATTGTTGAGAACATTTTACCAACTACAAAGAAATAGCCTTGCAGTTACAGAGAGCATAAGAAGTCTGCAACAAATGCCTGCATTATTAAATTATTTGTTTGCTGCTGTTTTACAACTGACACGTACTCCAGACCAACACCAACATGAAACTGACGGTGCTCCATGAAGTACCATATCCAGGTAGAAAATTGAAAGGGTTTGTTGTCTTTTTACTTGCTGACTGTATGACCAATAATCAAACAATATTTTCACCACATGAATTTTGTTTACACTTTCTAGACAATTTGAGTTTTGTCTTTGTGAACACAAAAGGACCAGATGGGAAATTGAAACAATGTATCATCCTCACACTGGTTCAATTTAGGAACTGAACTTTTAGGTGAGAACCCGCCCTTAAACTATTTCAACTAAAATATGCATCTTGTAAAATTTCCAGTATTTTACATTCTGAAAAGAGGGGCATCTAGTAACATAGATGTCCATTAATATGTTGGGAGACAATCCAGTAAGTGATTAAGTTTTAAAAGAAATACATGGTTAAAAGGACCAAACAACCTTTTCCTTAGAAAGTAGAACTGTGTGTCAGATTATTAAAAAAAGGGGAAAAAACCCCACAACAAGAAAGCACCTACTCGTGAGTGCTGTACATAAAAAAAACATTTTGACCGTACTTTAGTAAGTCTTTTCATTTGCAGGCAAAGTAAAAAAATATTACATAAACTTATTAACTGTATCAGCTCACTCCTCTATTGTGGGGGAGTCAGGAAGTAGCCAGTGCCTAGTGATGTTTTTTTTACAAGCATATATCATAACACTAAATAAACATTAATTGAAAGTAAACTTTTTCCAAAATAAAATGGCAAAATTGGAAAGGTACTTTCCTATTACAGTTTTTCTCAATTGCAAAACACTATAACCAGGCTTTTGAACTAAAATTTCAAAACCATAACTCCATCTTTCAAAAAGCCCACCCATTTCCCTAAACTCTACACACAAACCCCTTCATTTCTCATTGCCACCATGTGGTCATTGAGAAAACACTGACATTCTATATTGTTCACTCAGGTCAGCACAGCTTAAGCTCAGTTAGCACACATCTACCCAGGTGGAAACACAGTCACCAGTCATAACTGACACACACACACACCAATCAGAACCTTCAACAGATAGATAAAAGGGCCAGAGTCAGTTCATTCAGTTTTGGAACAACGGATCCAGCGAAATCTGAAGGAAGAGGTAGAGGACACCAGAAAGGAGGAGGAGGAGGAAGAGCAGTATGGAGAGGAGGAAGAGGTGAAGGAAGAGGAACAGTAGGAGTTGGAGGAGGAGATGGGATAGGAGGAAGATGAGAAGATGGATCAGGAGGAGGCGGAGCAGGAGTAGGGCGGAAGAGGAGGTAAAGGGAGGAGGAGTAGGGAAAAGGAGGAGGTGGAAAAAGAGGTAGAAGACGAGAATCTCTGGCCTGTCCCAGACCAAAGACCGGAATAATTTGTTGTTTGATGTGTTGTACTGTACAGTAGGAGGAATAAAAATGTGTGCAAATGTTTACGTTTGTTGTGTTCATTATGTGAATATGTGAATCCTCTCAGGTTTTCTGCTTTGGGGTAATACAAAAATCTAATTAGACACTTCCATCCAAATCCTCTCCATGTATGCGAGTTGATGCACTTCCAGTCAAAGTCACAATAGCTGTACCATTCCTCCTTTGAAATCTCAGTTGCCTTTGTTTTCCTATTTATTTGTGGTATATTAACCAATGCAGGTTCATGTGATCATCACCATCACATATTTTAATGTATTTGGATTTGATCTTCTAGTATTGTGGAATTAAGACAAACAAGTGTTGTGTGACAGCATGTACATATAGCTACACGGGTCCCTGGAGAGTGGCGTGAGTGGTTTCTCTGTTATGCAGAAGAGGGGTAAAGGCCAGACAAATTGAAAGAAAAAACAGCAGAGAAAGAAAAAAGGAATATTAAGAAAGATCCGCAGCAGCTACAGTATGTGGTTAGAGATGTGTAAAAGAGCAGGAGGTGGAATTTTACCAACTAGATATAGTTGGGCTTATTTGACCGTGGATTGCTGCCTCTGGGTCTGAGTTGCTGACCCAATTGAAGAAGTTCAAGTATTTCTGGATCTTGTTCACAAGTGAGGGTGAAATGTAACGTGAAATCAACATGTGGATAGGTGGGTGCAGAGTTGGGAGGATTACTTTAAAAATATAATCTGGTACAATTACTAATTACGTGTTTAAAAATGTAATCACTAACGTCATCCAAGTACCACAAAATGAAAGTAATATAATCAGATTACTTTTAGTTACTTCTGGATTACTTCAATGCCAAATAGCCTAATGAGGACAAGATAAGTATCAATGATGTGTTGTCTGTTTAGTGTATTTTTAGAGAAACAGAATAACAAAATCAAACAAAAAAGCCCAGTGAGATGTGCAACCACTGGTCAAATTAGCTTACTCTGTCCGAGCTTAGTGCTCAGGGGTAGTGTTAGTGTTTACCAAAGACTGTATAAAGGTCTTTACACCTTTACTCAAGCACTGAAGGTTTTCAGGCCAGGGGCTGGGTGGCCCAGCAGGGAATGATGGAGGGGTGCGGCACCTGACTGGGAGCCGAACCCGGGCGAGCAGGCAACGAAACCTCACTCAGCAGCTTTCCCAGTGAACACAGTATCAACAGGACCAAACACAGCCTCAGAGACCAAGAGGGAATCCACGACTGAGGTGATTTACTCAAAGCTTCTTCATAGACATAAGAACTTGATGGATAGCTTTACTTTTTGCTAAACCGCTAACTGTAGTCAGTCAGTTAGCCGTGTGCCAAGAGCGGCAAGAAAACAACCTCGGTACTGTATTCCCAGTGGTCAAATTGTCGGACTCGGAGGCTGTGCTACAGAGTCTGCATGACGGGGTAGGGGCATAGCACACATTCTGAATGTAAACGGCAATCAATATCTGCGTCACGTCCCTTTCTAGCTTTGTGTTTTTACAGAAACACGTACATATTGGTATATGTACCATATGTACATATAGACTGTATATAAAAAAACATACAGAGGAATACAGAATAGCACTGTGTAGTGAACAACGGTGTGGATTTGTGCATTTTATATTGAATAAATTTGGAGCTACTCTAAATTCCTTTATCCTCCCCAGAGAAGAAGGGGGGGGGGGGTCAAAGTTGCTTTCTCTAAGTGCTAGCCCGACCATAAAACTGGCACTATTTTGATTCCGAAGCTGATAACGCGGGGCCTGACTGTTAAACTGACAAAGGGACACGAACCAGCCATCGGCCTCTCCCTGAACATCAAAACTGGCCCCCCCCACATGTTTCCGTGGCAACTGACCTTATTCTTTGTTTTATTACCACATCAAAGGGATACTCCTTGTCTCACCTAGGTGTGACATGGTCCAGAAGCCAAACTTCGGATGACAAATGACTGCAGTCTCCAAAGACTCAAAGCGTTTAATTAAATCTTTAGTTACCTGATTACGTTTGCCTCTATTTGAGTAGTTATGTTAACTGTTGTTGCTATCCGTTGTTGATATTAGTGCTGAAAAGAAAGTTACTTGTGCAGTGTTTTTATTTTCAGCAAGACACTCCTTCATCTAATGTAATCCAAGCTTTCCTCATGTAACCTGAGCTCCCCCAAGTGGACGAAATAAGTATTACATGCCCTCATCGGAAATGCCGTTAAATGTATAAATATCCTGACCAATAA